TATCCAGAGTACTTTTAGGGGGTGCATCAGTTGAGACGACTGGTGCGGTTCAAAATCTCAAAGAAAGGTGTAACGTTTTCTCTCGACTAAATTAACCGATCTTACGTTTAACACAAGCGTTTTCTTTTCTTGTCTGCTTCGTGATGTGACTCTGTATATGGTTACCTGGTAATGGGCATTAACGATAGACCGTTTGAACAAATCGCCTGATGCTTCTGAACGAGTTAAGAGCAACAACTTTAATTCAAAATCGCTTCGAAATCCATTGAACAAATATTGGAGAACATGTTTAATGTCTAAACAAGTCTTTGTTTAACTCGTGTTTTTGTGTTGCAGGAGTCTTCATTCGTGGGTAAGGCTGGCAAGGCGCTAGAAACTTACTTTGAAGACCTTCTTGAAGACAACTTCTCTGACGTGGACAAGAAATTTAAAGTTCAAAGACAACGAAAATGATGAATTTTTAATTCCTACTGCTCTTCATTTCTAATTTGTATGTGAATTATTACAGAACAAAAAGAATATGACTAAAAATTATACAATTTTAATTCAACAATTGACAATAATCGCATCGTTAATCAATGATAACTGTTCTTTTATAAGAATGAGAATGTTGCTGTGCTGAGCTAATTTTAGTTTTTCCTTCAGAATCTTGGTATTATGAGCGGATGTTTCGGTATTCAATATAATACTCTCGGAAACTAAATGCTGGCTCAGAAATTAAACAAACTTGCGGATTGTTTTACTTTTGTCACAATTTCTTTTAAGCAAAAATGTTCTGTTCAAAATGTAGAATAAACTTTATCATTGCTTTGCTGTGACCTTGTTAGCTATATACTCGCGGTAACCAGAGCATCTTGACGTCTCAATACCATCATGCTCAGCGTGTTTCGTAACTTTCCTCGTGTCAACGAGAACGTGGTTTATGTCAACAAATGCCTGATGATATTTCAAGCGTAGAATGATACTAGACCTAGCCGGACTGAAGGTGGACTTTAATTTTATTTAAACCTCTCAAAGTCAGAGCGCGCACGTAACGTTACGTCCTTGTGTTGAATTTTTATTTGAACGTTGTATTGCGCGTGCATTTTTCGGTTGCTTTTAAACGAATATTTGCGTTCAGCAAGTTCCTCAGTTTCTTCAAAATTTTTGTAACTCTTCAGTGTGACTTAGAGGCGAGGTAAGATCTTTTTTAAATATTTCGAAGATCAAAGCTGTGCTGCGCTGTGCTGTAAATCTTCTCCAGTTTTGATCTAGACATGTTCCATCTTTTAACGCGATGTACATGCTGAATGAAAGAATTACGGAAACCTTTTGCTTGCGACCACTCACCAAAATTTTGACACGAAAGTGAAATGCCCGACCGGGCGGGCCTCGTTTTGGGTCAAATTGGCCGTTTTCACACTAGAGACAGAGGCCTATGCTGCGAGCAGAGGAGAATCTTAGAAACGCGCTTATGAAACATTTCTCTCAAGGAGGTTGCAAAATCTCGCTGAACCGTTACAGTTACCCAAATTGAAAAACTAAAAGAGCAGTTTATATTATAAGAACGCAAACCCAATAAGGATTGAGTTACGTGATATCCTTAGATTGACTGCGCGAGTCACTACTGGACGTCGGTCACACACGCCAGCGAGAAAGTAATCATGGATCGATAATTATTATTAAAATACAATTATTGGACGAGGTTGAGCAAAATATCGTAATTTGTCAGTGGCGAGCAGATCAATTATTTGCCGAAACCGAAGGCTGAGGCAAATATTTGAGCTGCGAGACACTGACAAATCACGATATTTTGCGATAACCGAGTTTAATAACTGTTTTATCATTCGTTCACCGGGTTTGTTTTTAAATGAATATCTTCTGGAAGCGAAGCGATCATTCTCGGCCCCAGTGCTTACGCTTCCGACTCGCTCTGGAGTCGAGCTGCCATTTTCACGCAAAAGCGATCGCAAGAGGGAGAAAAGCGTGGTTTCATTTACGCATGAGCAGAATATCATTTGTAGCCAAACACAGTAGGAAGACAGTGCGCATAAGCAGACCTTTATCCGTAGGCAGCCATTTGCACGTCACGTGGGGGGCTCTCGACCAATAAAAAGGGAGAAAAAATTGCGTCGAATGATAATGGCTCATATTTCGTCCCTAATGCTGTGATCCTTATGGCCAGCGCAACGGGTTTGCTCCAAATCCAACGCGCAAGCGCAACAGCTGCCATGTTTGTAACCGCGTGTAACGGTTATTGTTTCAGAATTCTTCGGCTGCAAAGAAAGGCAGGGCCGGGTTGTTCAAAGCAGGGTTAAGATAAACCTGGGTTAGTGCGAAATTTAAATTCAGATTTGGAAGCTTAAGAGACAAATTCACGTAAATCCTTTTTGCCTTTTTGTTTACAAATTGATTATTGGATGCTTTGAAAAGAACAGAGAAAATTTGTGAGAAAATGCTTTGACAAAACGGAAAAAAAGCCCGGATGAAAACTTACCCCCGGGTTAGCGCTAATCGGCTTTCGAACAACTGGGCCCATAAGTCGGCGGACTTCCTGTTTAGGAACCAAGCAGGGCTCTCGAATAGTGGCGCTGGCCAAAGTATCGCAGCTCTTAACTCACAATGCTGCTGACATAGCCATACACTTCACCACAGAACAGTTCAAAGTGACATGAGTTCGATTTATTTTGTCTTTGAAAATGACTAGGATATGCTGAAGCAACCGTTGCGGCATCCTAAACATGATTCAATTCTAAACAGAGATTACCTACAACATTACTTCACTTGGGATTCAATTTTCATAGTATAATTTCTAACAATAAAAAATCATGATATATTATCTTTAATTGTACCAATGAGTTAACACATATTCTGCCTTCTAGAGCCCTTCCACACTCAAAGTCATCAATAAGGGACCATATAATGTAGACCCGACTTTCGAGTCTAGGCATGAAACCCTCTAGTGTGACCATTCTAACTGGAAGCTCCAATACAGCGTTTGCACTAGTGATTTCTAAGTTAAGCAACAAAACAAAATTCGGATTTTTTTTGGCATTTGTATAATGTATCTGGTCATCTCTGGAAGGGAAGGAATGTTAATAATACACCCACAAAATATTCAAACACTAGATAAGAAGACTTCAGAAGGCGAAAAAGAACAAGCAGTTTGGAAATAACGTGCAGAGTGAAATCTAGTTTATCGTATCTGTATTCTACCACGCAAACTAACTGGTGAAAGCTTGATTATTTTTTTTGGCCCACTAATTTGTCTTCATGTAATATTTCTTCGTGTTCTACATTTTGAATATTTTCCATCACCCTTTCAAGCTAAATGTGCTTATATCAAGTTAAAGCGCGCTCCTGTATCCACAGTCACGATGCAGGGATGTCGGATTAAGACTTAANTGAGTTCGATTTATTTTGTCTTTGAAAATGACTAGGATATGCTGAAGCAACCGTTGCGGCATCCTAAACATGATTCAATTCTAAACAGAGATTACCTACAACATTACTTCACTTGGGATTCAATTTTCATAGTATAATTTCTAACAATAAAAAATCATGATATATTATCTTTAATTGTACCAATGAGTTAACACATATTCTGCCTTCTAGAGCCCTTCCACACTCAAAGTCATCAATAAGGGACCATATAATGTAGACCCGACTTTCGAGTCTAGGCATGAAACCCTCTAGTGTGACCATTCTAACTGGAAGCTCCAATACAGCGTTTGCACTAGTGATTTCTAAGTTAAGCAACAAAACAAAATTCGGATTTTTTTTGGCATTTGTATAATGTATCTGGTCATCTCTGGAAGGGAAGGAATGTTAATAATACACCCACAAAATATTCAAACACTAGATAAGAAGACTTCAGAAGGCGAAAAAGAACAAGCAGTTTGGAAATAACGTGCAGAGTGAAATCTAGTTTATCGTATCTGTATTCTACCACGCAAACTAACTGGTGAAAGCTTGATTATTTTTTTTGGCCCACTAATTTGTCTTCATGTAATATTTCTTCGTGTTCTACATTTTGAATATTTTCCATCACCCTTTCAAGCTAAATGTGCTTATATCAAGTTAAAGCGCGCTCCTGTATCCACAGTCACGATGCAGGGATGTCGGATTAAGACTTAATAGAAAGAACATTAAATAAGTTGCGGGCAAGATGACTCTTTAAACTTCCTAAGCCCCGAAATAAAACATTCCTAGCCAACACTGCTTACCATCCCAATAGGGGAAAATGGAGAGTTCAGTATAATAGAAAAAAAAAACGTTTAAATCAAGGGAGGGGCGATCCGCCTTGCCCTAATAGCGTTCTAATAGCTTTCTGGGTTTCGCTGCAGTTTGAAAAGACCTTTAAGACTGGTATTTGCCACGCTATAACGAAGGGCTAGCGCTCAAACTGATCACATGAAACGCTCACATACTACTATTTGCGGCAAAATCCACGGTTACTTGCGAATTAATATTGCGGATGTAAAGCAAAAGCTGTATGCATTTGCAAGGTCTATGGCGCCGCCGACATCCGGTTAAACACCCGCCTATACAGACTTACACAGTGTAAGGCTCATCGTGGCAAGCGACCGGACCTTAAAACACGGACCCTCGATGAAATGTCCGAATACGCAAAGCACTACATCGCGGTTGCTCTGTTCAGTGATGAACGCGTTTCCTATAATAAAATGCAAGTTCTAACAATAGCTTTCTAAAACCTCGCAAAAACAAACACCTCGTTTAGTAGTTTGGTATAAGTAACAACTGACCAGTTTACGGTACACCTAAAAACTATTACTTCTACTTTTGACCACAACTACCCAATTATCTCTGCCCACCACCTAAAACTACATGCCAGTTTTACTACCAACGTAACAAACAACAAAAATGCTATATAAGTGATTCTAATAGACTGTGTGTGTGTGTTTCTAAATACGCGCGCATTCATTTTTCCAGAAGGATATTTTTGAGAAGTAACCTTCCTCACAATTGTACATATAACTATTTATATCATTTTAAATATCCTATCTTTTCTTAAATGAAATTGCAGCAGAGCGCATCTTTACAGAAGCTGCCTCGGTTTCCTTCACGGCTTGCCGCACTGCACCCATTAAGTTTTCTGCACATCCTACTAAAGTCTCAGTAGCTTCCATGTCCGCTTTAGGATCTGAAAAGTGTAAAAAGTCAGTTATAAAGTGTAACTTTACTAAACAGGTCATACATTTTTCGAGTAACCAACTGATACCACAATAGTACTAAAGAAATAAACATCACTCCTGGCAAAACTTTTTCATAATCGCAACCGCTTTCGAACGCCTGAGTTATGATGAATTTGACAACCGGGGGCATAGCTACCTGTAAGCTTGTACGTACCTAACAAAATGTTGAAGATGTTTTAAAAAATAAAAAGAGAAAGCAAAAGACATTTTAGATAGATGGGAAATAAGCGATAGTTGAAAGGCACAAAAGGTTGGTTCAGAGTGGCTTCTTTTCCTCTACAGTATAAATTTCTCTAATTACTGATCACAAGGAAGCCATTATTGTCCCTTCTTAAATCACTGTTTCACTCCAATATTCAAGAGCATAGCTGCAACACACTGTCTAAGGGCCCCTTAATATCCGTTTATTTTACATAGGAAGAGCGATCGGACATAACCCAAGACTGAGTTTTTGTCGCTGTCTTAAATGCTATCAATAAAACGTAGTAAATAAAAAATAACTGATCTACGAGAAATATGAAGGCCGGCTTACCGTTAGCTCCAATCATGGTGGCCTTGACAGTGGCAACAATCTTTAGTTGTGTACTGATGGTAGGTATTCTTTCAATTGTCTGTGCTAGTGTCTAAATAACAAAAGAAAAGCTATGAGAAACCTCAAAAGAACGCACATTTGTTGCTTCAGCCCATAACCGAAAAGATCCACTATGAATGCACTATTCATTATCTTCATTCCCACTTAATCCAAGTTTTCACTCCTCTCCTGACTCACCTGACTGATTCTCTTATCAGGACAGTTCTTAACAATCTTTGCCGAGTAAGCAGACACTTCTTTGCTTGCTGCGGCTATTTCCTTTGCTAATGCGATCAGCTCTTTCTTAGAACGCTGAGGTTGGCCTTCNAACTGATCTACGAGAAATATGAAGGCCGGCTTACCGTTAGCTCCAATCATGGTGGCCTTGACAGTGGCAACAATCTTTAGTTGTGTACTGATGGTAGGTATTCTTTCAATTGTCTGTGCTAGTGTCTAAATAACAAAAGAAAAGCTATGAGAAACCTCAAAAGAACGCACATTTGTTGCTTCAGCCCATAACCGAAAAGATCCACTATGAATGCACTATTCATTATCTTCATTCCCACTTAATCCAAGTTTTCACTCCTCTCCTGACTCACCTGACTGATTCTCTTATCAGGACAGTTCTTAACAATCTTTGCCGAGTAAGCAGACACTTCTTTGCTTGCTGCGGCTATTTCCTTTGCTAATGCGATCAGCTCTTTCTTAGAACGCTGAGGTTGGCCTTCTTCTGCATCCCTGAAAAAAGAGAACCAATAGACCATAAATCAAAGGAATAATCTGTTAACAAGCACATACAATCTTTCCTACTAAAACTGCGGTCCCTGTGCAACTAAGCAGTGTTGTCCAATAAGGAGCTTGAGTTGCGATAACGTTGACCATGGGTTTCGCGGAGCAAACAGCACCCCACCCATCTCCCCTAGCTTTCTTGCTGATGTCAATTTTACCTCATGAATTGTGACATCTTAGCGAAGAGGATGGCCATCTTCTTAGCAGCTTGAATGAGCTCGTTTCCTTCCTCTTCCCACTTGAGTGCTTCTCTGTGTAAATGATGGGCCGCCATCTAAAATATCAAAAGACTTAATCATTCAAAGGTCTCTTCAAGGTCGTGACTTACTGAATTAACCGCCTAAGGGATGCTGTTTATATTGTCCCTTGGTTACAACCCAAATTCCTAACTTAACTTTGGGAGGCTTTCTCGCAAGGCAGTCGAAAATTCCCGAACGGAATTTGTTTGAACGGTGCGTTTCAGAATTTCCACATTTCAAGCGGTTTCTGGGTGATTCTGTAAATACGTCCTGCAGCAGCTGTGGAAACGCCAGTAAAATGAAACACGCGTACGTCAACGCGGCCCTTCTGACGTTTGAAGCGACCGCGTTAAGGCAGATTTGACTACTTTTTCCGATTTGCGACATTCTCATTGCCCATTATACACCTTGTTTGCCCCCTCCCTATCTCGATTATTTAATACACTCTGTTTGCCCCCCACCACCCACCACCCCCTCGCAAAAAAAGAGATTAAAAAATGCGTAAAATTTAGCTCTTAAATGCTTTCGGGAAAATGCAGTCCCGCCAGAAGCATTTGCAAAACAACAGTTTATGCAAACTTTGGGGCGCAAAAACAGCACACTATGTGAGATTAGAATTATTTCCTTCATTTTCTCTTGGGACAGCTGTAACACCCAGGAGACATCGAAAACAACGCTTAGGCAAACTGAAGAGGCGGGGGGGGGAGGGTTAAACAAGTTGATTATGGGCAATGCCAAAGTGGAGAATTGAGAACAATCGTTGCAACTTGTAAGTGACAAACGTACCGCCATTCTGTTGTCCTCGGGTGGTTGTTCTAAAACTTGTTGAACTTCCACCATCTCATCAGATGGGAGGGGTGGGCGAGGAGGTGGCGCAGTGGCCTCTGTAGGGAGGGGTGGGCGGGGAGGAGGCACTTCCTGAACAGGTGCTGTCTCTGTCCAGTGAAAAAAAAAGTGATAATAAATATAAAACACAAAATGACGTCAGAACAAAGGCTCATGTCTTATGCACGGCATAAATCACTGTCCTGTCTGATAACCACAGTTACTATGCATTCATAATATTTCTCCATTTCTGATTGACTCAAATCACCCGGCTAATTCTTCATAATCATCTAGGGGTGACAAAATTCGGAGGACGTTTGCGATATCCAGTGAAATGACGTCAATGGTACAGGATATCGCCAGAAAGAGGGACGGTGACCGGGAAACCCTGGAGACGGGAGCTCGAGAAAATGGCAGAAAATTTCAGACGATTTGGGAAGAAGAAATAGACGAACTACTGCCTAACAACATAGCAAGAATGGCTATGGTAAAACACGACTTGAATTTGCCCAAAAAAGGGTAAATGGCGGAAACGAAGACGGTAACTGAAAATCGATCGAGGTAAGCATGTTTTAACTTGCTTTTAAAGCTCGAATTACTTTGAATGAATAAAAGTAAAACAACTAATGGATTCTCTCCCTCACTCAGAGTCTTATTACAATTCCCTGGCTGATGCAGGCCATTAAAGACAACTAGATCTAAAGCACTTTCATCATAAAGTACTGCACGGTGGGTCAACATAGGTTTTAAGATACTCACCGATATGAAGTCCTGAAATATCTGGAGGAGGTGGAGGAAATTCTTCTTCTTCAGGTTCGGAAGGACCGCAAACAATAACACGTACATCAGACACAGCATCTTGCAGCTGAAAATTACAGTAACGTACACAACCACTCAAATTCGAACCCCATAATCGGACTACTTACTTACTTCAGCCCTCACTAGGAGAGCTGAATTACCCTTCGATTCGACGGATTTCTTTCCTAAAGGAATAACACTGGATCGACTCTCTCAAATACTGGGTAAAAAGCTGAATGGGAGCAAAGTAAAAATTCACAGATTCAAAGTTGTCATGGCTTGCCAAGGCGGCAGACACGAGAGGAGGTCAGGCGAATGAATTGTCATTAGCGTGACGTTAAAACGCTATGACAACGAGAAACGCGAGCAAGAGAGAAATTTACAAAGCCAGCAATCCCCTCATAATCAAGGGCTGCAATTCCTTTTTAATAACAGCCATTTAAACGACGACGTCATTTGAAAACAACAAATAATCTCCCCGGCCCTCTTTGATACCCCATTGTACCTTTCTTGTGGATTCCCGTAATTTCTTGTGTGCATTTTTGTCCGTAGGATTTGTGGCAACAGCTTTAGCATCGATAACCAAAGGAGTGATCGCTGATAAGAGAAAACGATGTATGTTATTGGCAGTAATTGACTAGGATAGCGTTGACCTTAATAGACATTTTAACGTTTTGTGAGGTTAAATAACATTGAGATTATAAGTCCCAAAGATTTGCACTTCGTTATCAAATTTTCTCAAACTTCCATTATGTCAGCTACCGCCTATTATGGGATTGGTTAGCATTATTATTCAGAAAGAACAAGATAAAAAATAGCCCCCTTGCCAAAACTCAGCCTGTTAGAGCAAATTGATGAGGAGATATAAGCAACGTCATGCTCCGATGAAGCTCCGATGACTCCATATAAATCTTTCTAAAATAGGCCTGGGGCCCGTTTCTCGAAAGTCCCGATAACTTTTCGGGCCCGAAAAGCTGTTTTATGTTTGCCGTGTTTTCATTCAAGATCAAAGTTTCAATACTTTTGAAAATGATACAATGAAAATATCAGTTAACGAAGAAAAATTGAGCGGTTTGTGAGCNTCAGCCTGTTAAAGCAAATTGATGAGGAGATATAAGCAACGTCATGCTCCGATGACTCCATATAAATCTTTCTAAAATAGGCAAGGGGCCCGTTTCTTGAAAGTCGCGATAACTTTTCGGGCCCGAAAAGCTGTTTTATGTTTGCCGTGTTTTCATTCAAGATCAAAGTTTCAATACTTTTGAAAATGATACAATGAAAATATCAGTTAACGAAGAAAAATTGAGCGGTTTGTGAGCTAGGAACTTTGCTACTACTCAACTGGTTTTGATTTCAAAATTTGCCTTTGAATCCGAAAAGTTATCGCGCCGTTCGAGAAACAGGCCCCTGCATCGTTAACGTTACGATCCAAGCCAGAAGGATTTGTATCGAGTCATCAGAGCAAACCAGTACTTATATCAACCCATAAATTTGCACTAACAGGATGATTTTTGGCAAGGGGAGCCCTTCTCATCTTGTTCTTTCTGAATATGTTAACCAATCCGGCACCCATAATTTCACAAACATGAATTTTTTTGACGTCACACATCTCTTTTCTATTGATGACATTGTTAGTTGTCAACAAAATTTGTGGGCTGAAAGTCAGTTTAAAGGGAATACAGAGTCGGTTGCCCTTCTACTCCACCCTGTACTTACAGTTTGCAAGTGTGTCTTTCGCGGCACCCATCTTGGAAACGTAATCCGGGTCTAAAGAATTCTCCATCTCAGCTTCAGCAACGTCCACCACTCTCTTGGCTCGACGGGCAATGTTAGAACTCTTCGCGATCAGCAACTAATCACAAGAAAAGGATGGCAAAAAGGGGTAAATCAGCGACGGTTTGGGAAAAATGACACCGTAAGCTGTGTGAGGCAAGAACTTTTTTTATCTGACAATACAAAGTGAACGTTTGTGGAACTCCTAACGGCTTCCAACACATCCCTGTCAGACATGTTGCTTTTAAGATATCAAACCAACTTACAGCACCACTCGCGACGCATAAAGCTGAGACTTGTAAGTCTCTATTATGAAGCCAGTTTTTGCGTTTCTTATCTTTGGCCAGAATTGAGTGCTTATGCCCTTTTCCCGTGGTATTTAGTTCTACATTGCTACGTTTAGTGATTGGCTATGAAACATTTCGCACCACTACGGTGATGCTTGCAGCCTTATATCCCGACCTGGATGAAGAGGTTTGAGTGAGTTAAGGTGAAAAGGGCAAAGCCCTAAACTAATCATGACTTGCTAGCACGAGTTTCCCTTCATTTGCCGCCCAATACATCTTATATATATTGCAGATTTGCTTCGAGTTTTGCTTGCTTCACTGCACTGTCAGTATCTGTTTTACTTCGATAGGTCAAAGTATTAACATAGTAGGTGAAAACCGCACAGTTATTTAAAATTACCTGTGGATTTCCTTGTTCCATAGCAGCATTACACATTTCTGCATCTTTATTAATTGCTTCCTCTGAAATAAAAAGTACGAAAATGTTGGCAAAGGCATATCACTTAAAAAAATGGTCTAAGTTTACAGATATTTTGGGTTAGGGTTTGTCGGTTAATGGAACTGATTTGTACAAATTGTAAACGTGGTTCCCGGAAGAAATTTACCAGTCCTGAATTTTGCGTACCATTCACTCAAAACTTGAACCATGTAAGTTAATGGCAAACAACCACAATAACTCAGGAACTGAATGATGACATGGTACATACCGCAGGCTTCAATAAACTTTCCAGTATCTGTAGCACTGTCCACAAGGTTTGTCAGTGCCTGCATCTTATCTTTCCAACCATCACGCATACTTTCAAAATGAACAGACACAGCAGGTACATCCCCCGGGGAATGCTTTCCATAATCCAACAGGATTTTAGCAACATGAGATACTTGAGGGGTCAATTCTTTAAGCTGTAAATAATAAACAAATAAGATAAATGTAAAAAAAATCAAGGAGGCCATTGTTATCAGTCGCCAGCGTCCATTTCAAAATAGAGATGGGGGTTATGAACTTCCCGCGATTTTTAATCATTTGTTGTCACGTGACTAATTCACGTGACAACAACACTGAACATTTTGAGACTAGAATTTATTTTTCAAAAATAAATGAAACTTCAATCCACTGAGGCCCTCCTAAGAAATGGGCGGCGGGGTACGTACGTCCCTAGTCTGAATTTTAAAACACGACATTTCGCGGTGTACTGAGGACGGAGCCATGTCGCTGTGGTATCGTCACTGTGACACTGTGGTATCGTCACGGCCAAGTTGCCTGTCGGCTTGTCAGAATTTTATCCTAACAGGGGCTCGACAGACTCTCCTCTAATATGCTGAAATCTGGAGTTACCTTCAGTTGCTGTTCTACAAAATCAAATGATTAGTGTTAACAGCAAGAGTTCCAGTAACGCAAGTAAGGCAAATGCTTTGATGCTTTTTTTTTCCCACAGGCAAACAAATAACAAATATAGTTTGTCTACACTTCTGCAGGTATGCAGCCAAAACTACAAAGAAATGAACCGGCAAAAGTTGTATTTGACGTGGTGTCAGTTTAATTTTCCATGAAAATAGTAAATAAATGAGGGACAAGAACATGAGATGAATGATACTGACATCTGTGGACTAAAGAAGAGACATAAAAACAATATCTGTTTCACAATTTTCATTGATTAGATTAGTTCAGATTTATACTCACTTCATCAGCATTTTGACGTATCTGATCCAGAAGTCTTTTGTTAGTATTTCCACCAGCATTAGCCAGTTGAATGGCAGTATCAGCTATCTGATTTGCCTGATTTTCAAAAGCTCCTGCTTTGCTTTCAAACTCAGCTTCACGTCCGGGTACATCTACAGCATGAACAGTAATATATATAATCAACTCTCTCTAAAAGGGACACCATTATTGACACTATGTTTCTGTCTTACGAAGTGTCTGCATAGTAAAAAAGGACTGACAAACAGCTGAAAAAACTTTTGGTGACCTTTTCAGGGAAGTGTCCTTTTCATGGTTAAATGTAAACATCAGAACAAAATACTCCCTGCAGGTTAAACAAAAGACTTTTGGCAGCAAGTGATCACACAGCTGAAAACAGCAGTAGTGGCCTCTGTGTTTCAGGAACACTACTATAATTACAACCAATATGTGTTTGTTTTGTTAGTTCCTGTTATCGGAGGAGGGATCTAAACATCAAACAAAGCTTTTTTTACCAATTATCTAATTACCACTTAATTTACAGGAATTTTACATTATTGTAATTTAGGCCATTACCAGGTGGGGCTCTTGCAGCTTTCTCCAGCTGCTTCAAGTTTGTTGTTGTGTCCATAAAATCTTCTGCGACCTGGGCAATAACTCCATTTTGTAGTTTGTTATTCAGTTCTTCTAACTTTTTTTCAATCTTTTGTGCAATGGCAGCTGCTTGTGGAGAGTTACCCTACAAAGAAACAAAGAAAAATTCTGGTAAGGTGTTATTATACTAGCTTGCAGGTCTTCTTTTACCACAGTGGAACATTAAAGCTGATCTTTTGTGGCTGTTCAATGAAGCTCTCCCACAATTGCCAGAAAAGGTCAGGTGTCAGTATGACACAACTGGAACATAAAGGGTTTAGTTTATCTTTTGTGTCACGATTGTCACTTTGATATTGATTGCAACGTTTTGACTGCACACTGCAGGTCTTCATCAGGCGATAGTGTCAATTTACTGAGTCAGATTATTTGCACCCCCGTGGCTGTTAGTGATTGGTGTATCACGAACCCCACTCATGGTTAATGGGTTTCGATTCAAAGCAAAAGCCTGTAACCAACAGTAACGCAGTTGACCGATGATGGTGATAATAATTATGACGACAATGAAAAGTTTACCTCACTAATGAATGTAACATTTTTTTTTCTGTGGGTTTTGGTTATGGCCTTTCATAAGGCTGTGCTCTAACAGTGACTGTGGCCAATAGCATCTTACTTTTGCTCAGTTTTTGCATAAAACTCATATGCCAGGACTTCTCAGGTTCAGAGTATTCATTTGAGCTTGCAAGAATTTTCCTTAGGGCACAGCTGTGTTCCATAGCACTCTACATCATTGTTTTACAGTTGGGGTGGATGTTCAAAGTTTCAGTCTGTTCAAGATCAACTCAAACAAGAGGTTTGCCTGCAGAATTTTCAATGAAGCTACAGCAACCTACATCTGTAGTGACTGAGGACTTCCTCCAGGACTTTTTGGATGTGTATCTTCCATTTTCTGTGAAGGGTATTTTAACATTCCAAGTTTCTTCATACTATGCATAAATTATGGAACAAGTATTTAACAATTACTGAGAAGCTAGAAGAGGAAATTGTCAAGCTAATTATCACAGGTTATGAATTGACATTTCATATTCCAACTATGCTTATAATTTATTTTTACCATTCCTCTTCTCATCATTTCAGCAATTTCATTAGTTAGGTCATCAAGTTCATCACAAAGTTGCAGAATGGCACTCCTCTCTGGCCCGGAGCACTTGCCCGCGATTGCTCGCCCCTGGTCAATGCATTCACGTATGGCCCTTTCACCTGCCAAAGAATAACACATCCAATTCCCAAATGAAAAAAACGGTATCGCATATAAAATTCCAGTTATGAATTCTTGCTGCATGCATAAATGTTCAAGATACTAATAAACATGGTCATTGTCAACAACTGCATTGGTAAATGGCAGATGAATGGTTTTATGAGACATGGCAACCAGCTCCTAGATTGAGACTAACCCCTCACCTCACCAGCCCCCAAGCCTGGGAAATCCTGGCACACCCCAGCCATAAGATCTCTAACATCAAGGAGGACAGGTGCCCATCAAACACAATAAATGTCAGAAAAAGGGAGGGACACCCACCCACAAACACACATTGACTTGGACACCCACTTAAGCCAAAAGGGTCTGAAGAGGGGTTGTTCATCCACTGATACAGGCCAGCAATAAACCTTCAAACATAAGGGAGAACAGGCACCCATCACACAGATAGATACAATAGTATAAATAGGGAGGGATACCCACACACTGACACACACATTGAATTGGACACCTACCTAAGCCAGAAGGGTCTGAGGAGGGGTTGTTCATCCACTGATGCACCTGATCCATTTTTCCAGCAAATGTGTTTGCTGGTCTACGCACACCTGACTGTTCTTGAACTAGTATTGCATCCTGCATTTGAGAATTCAAATCTTCCAACCGCTGAGCTACCTCTTTGTTTAGTCTTTGGCCTTCAGGAGTTGTACCCTTTGGATGTAAAACATGACATTTTCTTAGTTACTTGAGGTGACACCAAGTTCAGTAGCATTGTAATCAGGTTGTACATGTCTGGACCCTTCACAGGCTTGTATAAATGTTTGTCAAGGCTTCTGATAAGCTAATATTACAGTAACTAAATCATGTTAATTATACCCGCATCTCTACCTTGAAAACAGCTAAGAGGTTTGATGTACCTATATAATAACATGAATCATTACAGGTTTATTAAAAGTACAGTACATCTCATATTTCAGTGCATTTGCACCAGGCAAATTTGCCTTACAGCAACAGATAGACATTATACAGGGTTAGAACAGTAGACCTTAATAACCATACATAATATGAAGATTTCTTGTAAGCATTGTTACCAGATAACTGTCCGTTGAGATAAATTTATATGACTTTCTACAAACCTTGCCCAGCTTTCTAAGCTGTGCCAAATCACCCATCAGTCTATCAAGATCATCGCACACTTTCCTTATTCTTCCTTTGTCAGGTCCTTGACATGCATCAGCAAATTTTCGACCTTGTGCAATACACTCCCTCACAGCCTTCTCACCTAAGTTCAAAATTACATGGCACTTGTGTCAAGATTCAAGAAAACTAGAAAAGCAGACTTGCAGACTTTTTGCATACTGATTAGGCAAGATCTGTTATCACCAAATGAGCCAACCACTAGGAAAAACTGGAGGTAAGTCCCCCAACAAATTTTGAAATCTAAAAGCTCTGAATGCTATTTCCAGCTTTTTTCAGGTATTTCTTGAGAAAAAGCAAAGTAATATTTTCCAAATGAACGGTTATTTTATTTTTTTAAGGTTAAAACCTAGACAAAGCAAAGCCCCTATCTTGTCTCTTCCCAGCTACACCTAACCTTGAGTACACTGTACCTGAGTTTGTTTTATGACAATCACATCTGATTGTGGATAGGCACTACTCTCACAGAGAGTACAGTGTCATTTAAAACAATTAAAGCAAATTTATCAGTTACACATTTTTCGCAAGTAAATAGTAAAACCTAGTCACGAGGAAACCACTGGTTTTTTTGCAATATTAGTTACTTTAACATCTGAATCAAAAATGGCAATGTGGCACTAAACATATCATTCAATAAATTTTACATGCTGAAAAGCAAAGCAAAGCACAGTATATAAAATAATGCAAAGATAAAAATATGTTTATAACAAGAGGGATATCAATCAGGGAAAACAGATTTTTACCATTAACCTTTGCAATGATGTTAATCAACATTTTTGGACCTACCTAATCCACCAGCTGATTCAGTGGGTGTGGTAACCCATTTCATGGCAGGACCCAAGTTGCTGTCAAAAAGAGATGCAGCTTTTTTCATATCATTCAAAGGATCATCTCCACCTTCCTCTTCATATGTGGTGTACTGCAATACTCGGATAATTTCACTGATCTCAAAACACATCTTGCCAACAACAAAATTCCTGTATTCTTGTGCCTCTGCAATGTTTTGCCCTCCTGCAGTAAAGAACAATTTTTTATTGCATCTATTCAGTGATACCCACTGCCAGGATGTCATTTTATAAACTTTATACACTGTATTCACAAATGGCGGACACGCGGGAAAAAACTGGTGCCTAGTCATGAAAGCGAGGCGTTGGAGGATAAACAAAAATTGCAAATGAAGACTTTCAGTGAACTTGCAGAGTGTTAAGGGCGGATTCCACCTAAAATAACTTTGTACGGACTTCTTTTTAAATACAATTACGTGGGATGTCTTCTGCCTTTAATGTTTAGTAGTGATTTTCTGTTTGCAATCAAAAGGGACGCGTATATCTTCAAGGAAACAGGATGATTTTGTAGGTTTCCGAAGCATCAGAAGCTTGACAAGTGGGCTATGGCTGGAGAAAAGCGGCAAAATGTTAGCCCAAACTTCACATTGAAACCTAGTACGAAAGCCAGATCACTACAATTCTGTAAAATGGAAATAAAAACAGATATTGGTGGCGAGAAAAAGAAAAATAAGCGACGGATATATGGCCTACTTGTTAACGGAAGAGACCTCCGCCATTACACAAAACAGGTCGAGTCGAGAGCGGGTGAAAGATTCATTCACAAGGCTCATTTATTCATGTCAGTCTCATTTTATACATATCTATGTATAAATGTATTTCTGCATTTACAACTTCCTTTGGATCATATTAATTCCGCCGCTTTGGAGTGAATTGTTACTGAGGTACGTTGGCAGAGCTTAATAAAAATCTCATGATTTCTTTGTCATTGCGAAATAATGAAAAATAATTTTATTTAAATTAGAAGCTGTACCTTGTGAATCTTATGGCTTGCTATTTGCCTGGTCTCCTTTAGTGCATTATCTCAGAGAGCTCTTGGTAAAAAAGTAGTATAAAGCTTACATTCTACTAGGTTAAACTTTTAAGGCAATGTTTGTGTCAGGAATGAACACGGCAAGCTTCTGTTTCAAATAGTTAAATTGGAGTCTGGATCCATTTAAGAAGACCATCATTTTATTTATTTATGTATTCTTCAACTTTAAAATATTATGAAACATTAAGTTAAAAGTCTTAACAGCCAAAGATAAGAAATACGAAATTACTCGCTGAAATGATATGTGGCCGGCTTACTTAGTCTGCCGAGTAACATGTTGAAATTTTGAGCGTACTCCACTCGATTGCTCCTGCATTTATACTAAAAAAATAGTTCTAATTGATGTCCTTCATCGATAAAGACCAGAGAATAACGTCCTGGCAAACAAAAACCAAACATAACTTCATCGAAACCTCAGTCACCTCTTCTAAGTAGGCCATATATCTGTCGCTGATTTCTCTTTTTCTTGCCACCAACATTTGTTTATATTTCTGTTTCACCGAATTGCAGTGAGCTGGCTTTCATACTCGGTTTCAATGTGAAGTTTGGGCTAACATGTTTGCCGCTTTTCTCCGGCGATCGTCCACTTTTCGAGCTTCTGATTCTTCGGAAACCTACAAAATCATCCTGTTTCCTTGAAGATATACGCGTCCATTTTGATTGCAAACAGCACATCACTACTAAACATTAAAGGCAGAAGACATCCCACGTAATTGTATTTAAAAAGAAGTCCGTACAAAGTTATTTTAGGTGGAATCCGTGCTAAACACTCTGCAAGTTCACTGAAAGTCTTCATTTGCAATTTTTGTTTATCCTCCAACGCCCCGCTTTCATGACCAGGCACCAGTTTTTTCCCGCGTGTCCGCCATTTGTGAATACGGTGTATGTTTATCCCATGTTGAAAGCCACTGCACATTATGGAACAAATGGCAGGCAGTCATCACTAAAAATGACATAAAACTTAAAAAATGGGGAACTTCTTTCAGAGATGTGATGATCTATTTTTAAAATTCAGCTAGTCACGACTTGATTTTTTATTTTTACACACTCACCCAAAAGCTAACACCATAAAATGACACATTATACATTTGTAAGCCCTGCCGAATAATTAGAAATGCAAAACAAACCATCTTATTAACAATAAGCCACCACGTAAGTAAAAGCCACTGGAGGCTCATAAATGGGTATTGCCGTAAAATACACCAGAAGTCTTGTCTGGAAATGAAATTGGAAACTACCAGGTGAAATCAGTGAAATTGAATTTTAAAAGCACTATTCACCATTGTACTGAAGACCAACATAGCACCCTGAATACTTCAAAAGTAATGAAACACTGTCCTGTTGAGATATTCAGCACCAACTCAAGGTTCTTCAACAAAACAATTCAAGTACACATTATGGTAAATAAATACCTGTTGTCAATCAGGTTTTTAATAATTAAAAACCTGATTGACAACAGGTATTTAATTCAATTTAGTTTTTTTTAATTTGTAGTTTAATTATTAAATTAAAAAGACTTTAAATTTACCTCTTTGCACAGTCAAAACATAAGTCTTGATTGAAGTGATCAGCTGAGTGGTCATTGCCTTAACAGTAGTGATGGATTTCTTCAGCATTTCAGCATGTACCTGATGTGTCAGCTCATCAATTCTAGCTTCAACCTTTTTTGCCATTTCAGTTATTCCTGGTGTTAGATTCTTCACAAATGTGACAAGTTCCTCCATACTTTCCACAATTTCAGCAACAGATAGGTATTCTAGAACTCCTCGGCAAACTTTTAGAATTTTTCTCACCTCTGCTTCATCAAATGTCAGCAGCAATGCTGATGTTCCCGAAAGAATGCCTGAAATAATAAGGATGAACATCAAGGGGACAAGAATTTACAACTACAGCAGTTTTAAAATGTAGTTAATTTCTATAACGTCCAGCAACATAAATAACATATAAAAGTTGATCCTTACAGACGAACAATAACTAGACTGGATCATAAACCATGAAGCTCAACAGACTGATAAGAAAAAATAATTTTCAACAACAATTTTCTGGGCTTTTTGTGATCTGTGGGAGACTGGTGGAGTCCATCAATAAATTATTGAAATAGAAAGTACCAGTAACTTATATGTATAGGATCACTTACCACGAGCACCATCAATTAACTTCTTACGAGCAGTGGATGAGTAAGGATCTTGTCGTAAAATTTGAGATGCTTCCACTAGGAGAATAGAGGACTCTTCCACTCTTTTAAAAGCAAGTGGCATTTCTTGTTTGAGAATTTCATCTTTACTGGATGCTGCTGTTTCTTTACCCACCTGGAGAGAAAAGGAGGTTACAATGTTGCAACAAATAAAGGTGAACCTCACGTAAGAGACCACCCAAATTGAGGAGTTTCAGTGAGTCGCTTACAGGGGCTAAGAATCAAACCACAGCAGGTCTTTACCCAGGAGAGGTTTAAAAGAGATGTAACTGAATGCAATTTCTAAGTTAAGATATATTATGCTCCATGTTGTCTAACACTAACAGTTCTTCATGTACAGTATTTCCTTGAAAAATAGCCGTCCCTCTATTAATTGCATAGGAATAATCGACCCCCCACCCACCCACTGCCCCTCTCGCTATCTTTTACCTCCTCCCTGTCAAATTGAAGTGTAATGTGATCCAGCAAAGCTGATCAGTCACTATTCAAACTCTGAAAACTGATTTGTTGGAACACTTAAAAAGCCCATGTTCAGTACATTTGATGTTATCATTTTTTATTTAATTGGAAAATAAAACAAAATGTTTAGGGAACGACTTCCAATGAGCAATATTTGAAATAATCACCTTACTCGAATTATGTCAACTGTGCATTCATCGAAGAAGAGTTGCTACTTTTGAAATCTCATTTTTAAGGAACAATTTACATCAATACAAACCTTGACAAGATTCTGAACAGCTGTGCCAACAGCTTGCACTGGTAATGCCAAATCAGGCATTGCTTTGCCATCTTCAGCTTCTTCATGAAGGATAACTAGTGTGGAAACCTTAAGAATAACCAAGCAGTGCAGACATTAGAAAAATAATCATGGCACGAAACAGTCACATAGTATTATCACAGGTCAAAATTAAATTCAGGTTAAAATGTTTTAACCCGGGTTGATTCTCAGTTTCCTTTGTCTCCTAGCCCTGATTATTCATGAATTAAGGCAAGGATATCAAGGAAATTGAGAATCAACCTAGTGAATATAATTTTGACCTGTAACATATGCAAACAAAACTCTACTTGCAGTCAGGTAGACAACTGATGCAAACATAACCTCACATAATAGTGGAAGCAAAAACAATGATGCTTTCATGCAAAACAGTGTAACCGGACATGGGTCAAGATGGGGATACAGGGACCCCAATAATCAGTTTATTATGTGGGGTGATTTCTCCGTTAAAAATTCATGTATTTCTCAAAAACAAATAATTTTGCAGGTCTCCACTGTACCATTGACTTCCAACTGAAATACTGACCAATTTCCAAAAAAGTCAAACTGCATTAATCTGACACCTCCTTGGAAGTATCAGGTTTTCTGATCATTGATTTCCCATGGGGTACTCCCTGCATATCCAAGTTTGGGAATATACCTGATAACAAGACTAATGGACACTATTACACTCATCATATAAAAACTGATAACTCATGACCGATATATAAGAGTAACTTACAGCCTGTAATAAGACTTGCATTACTTAAACCCATCCACCTATATTTGCTGAATAAATGTTATTTAAAAAAACTTGTTTCAATTTTTTTTAAAAAATACATCCCTTATTTTTCCTGTCTAGCTCCTTGACATTTTTCCACTATGCACAGACACTAACGTCTGTTGAAATTCCATGACTTGAAAAATTAGATTCAAAACTGGTAAAAATATCACTCATGAGCTAACTTGAATTTCAAAACATGTAAGCTTATTTTAAAAAATATTAAACAGGAGCAGGGAAGTAAATACATATTTTCAGGGTTCTTACTTCAAAACTGTTTACTATGTGCAGCAATTAGCCCTTTTCAGAGTAAAAAATTAATGTTTACTTTTTAGTCAGGATTAAAAGAACAGTCAACTACCCTTTCATATTGTTTATTTTACATAACAAAAGACTCTACAAGAGCTTGTATGTAAAACTTGTAAACTGGAAAAAAAAATATTGAAAGCCTCTCGAAGCTTTCAGCGGAACTACAACCAGTAGTGTCTCATATAAAAAAGTAACCCCTCCTTTGAGATCGATCGTCCACAAATATCGTAAAATCGATAAGGGATTTTTTTTCACTCTTCAGTCACGTTCTGGAATTTAAGATCTAGACAGTGTTTACAAAATCTGTCCACTAAAAATTTAAACTCAAGACCCCAAGTTGAAAGCGTTGGTATCAGACAACTGCGCGAAAAAGCTAAGGAAAACAGACAATGGTGTTAACACAAACGAGTATCTGTATAAAATACTGTACAAATAACAGTTAGAATAATTAGACACAGTTAAATATCTGAACGCAGGATACTCGTCTGTCTGTTAAATCACCTCCTACCTGTTGGGCTACGGGCTCCAAGATCGTTTCGATAATTTTGGTGTGGAAAACAGGCATTTTGAATGTCCTTGCAGGAGTAATACTCTTCGTAGGTGGCAGAAACAACGTAAAATACAGAACAGGAACTAGCAGAACTATTCGGAAACGTCCACACCTTCAAGCAGCACCCAGCCCCGCACAAAAATGTTTTCCTTTGCGCGGAATGACGCCCGCGTTATTCCTAGGGGCCTACCAGCAGGATCACAATTTCTTATGGTTTGTAGTTCATATATGATTATTACAGTGTACCGACATATATTTCTAAGTAACTCAAGCACGCCAAGTAACTAAGGAAGGCCAAGACGCTCAAAAAACCCAATACACTCTACCTTAAAGGAAATATATCACGGTACACTATAATAATCATATATGAGTTACCTACCTTTCTCATTCCAGGCGGGGGGCTTCTCGATATTGTAGAAAAATATGAACGGCAAACTGATCCCCACGGAAAGAAGTAAACAAAAGAATAAAACAAAAAAATATATTTTTAAACAAATTGCCCAAAAGATATATTTTTTTGTTTCATTCTTTTGTTTACTTCTTCATCGCCTTACCGTAAGGATCAGTTTGCTGTTTCATATTTTTCTACAAGTTTAATTGTACTGATCGAGGTCCACAACTGCGGCGAGACGGCACCACTCAACGGTTTGTTGTCGTGGACTTGCTGACATTTTATATATTTTGGAATCTTCCCGACATTGTCCATTCAGGAACCATAAAGGAAAGACTAATACAAAGAGTATTACTGCGAAAACAGACGTTTCTCCTCACTCATCGCCTCTCGGGGACGTTTCGCGAGGAGGAACGTCTGCGACTCAGTAGCCTGTTCCAGGCTCTCAGGTAGTGGGGAAGACGCGAAAGTAAAAGGCACGCGAAAGGTTTCCTCTCGTTTTATTTTCGTGTTCACGCTTTCTCACCGGACGTTTTCGCAGGTTACTCGGAGCCTGGAACAGGCTAGCGACTCAGCGACAGAAATTTCATTCTGATGACGTAAAATCTGTCCGGAATCTGGTCATAAGCGCTGATTGGACGGTCCGTTAATGTATCGAGACGCGTCAGCGTCACTGTTTTCTATTTTCAATTCGTGAAATGGCAAGCTTATTTTCGTTGAAGGTTATTAAAAGATGTTCGAAAAGTTCAGTTACTCAACAGCGTAATGGTAATGTATCAAGCAATACATTTGAACAGAAAAAAAAATATAGAGAGACCTTTTTAAAAGTACACCCGAACCTCCACTGACGGCTACCTCTCTACAACGGCCACTTTTTTTCTTCCCGGCGGGCAGTTCATACATTTAAAATTAAAGGCAAGGCTGATCGGACAGCTATGGGTTGGTAATTTCCCAATTTATGTGCCCATTATTTCGACTTGACAAAACTAGTCGTCATCAGGGGTTAGAAAAGCCAAGTCCATTCATTGACTCTTGTTTAAACCTGCACCTCTCTGCAACGGCAACGGCCACTACAGCGTTTTTGCGCATTCCCAACTACCAAAATAACCTCTCGACAACCGCCAGTTTTTTTCAGCGAATGACGAAAAAGTCGGGAATGGTCACGAAATTTGATCCGTATGGCGTCTTGTTGATTTGATTGAGTTCCATTATTCTGCTGCGGTAAGCATAAATTGTGTACAATACTTATAGCGAATGTTGCGAGCCTTCATCGTTTGGTCATGTTAAAATTTTGATTCAAACAGTATTTAAGTTTTTTGTGTCTTCTATCTCTTTCTATCATTTATGATTGGATTCCTATTATGGCCCCAGTAGGCATGAACTGGGCACAATAAATGAATAAACATGATATGTTGTGCTCCCTAAAAAGTCCAGCTGATTCAGTGGGTGTGGTAACCCATTTCATGGCAGGACCCAAGTTGCTGTCAAAAAGAGATGCAGCTTTTTTCATATCATTCAAAGGATCATCTCCACCTTCCTCTTCATATGTGGTGTACTGCAACACTCGGATAATTTCACTGATCTCAAAACACATCTTGCCAACAACAAAATTCCTGTATTCTTGTGCCTCTGCAATGTTTTGCCCTCCTGCAGTAAAGAACAATTTTTTATTGCATCTAATCAGTGATACCCACTGCCAGGATGTCATTTTCAACACTTTATGTTTATCCCATGTTGAAAGCCACTGCACATTATGGAACAAATGGCAGGCAGTCATCACTAAAAATGACATAAAACTTAAAAAATAGGGAACTTCTTTCAGAGATGTGATGATCTATTTTTAAAATTCAGCTAGTCACGACTTGATTTTTTATTTTTACACATTCACCCAAAAGCTAACACCATAAAATGACTCATTATACATTTGTAAGCCCTGCCGAATAATTAGAAATGCAAAACGAACCATCTTATTAACAATAAGCCACCACGTAAGTAAAAGCCACTGGGGGCTCATAAATGGGTATTGCCCTAAAATACATCAGAAGGCTTGTCTGGAAATGAAATTGGAAACTACCAGGTGAAATCAGTGAAATTGAATTTTAAAAGCACTATTCACCATTGTACTGAAGACCAACATAGCACCCTGAATACTTTAAAAGTAATGAAACACTGTCCTGTTGAGATATTCAGCACCAACTCAAGGTTCTTCAACAAAACAATTCAAGTACACATTATGGTAAATACATACCTGTTGTCAATCAGGTTTTTAATAATTAAAAACCTGATTGACAACAGGTATTTAATTAAATTTAGTTTTTGTAAATTTGTAGTTTAATTATTAAATTAAAAAGACTTTAAATTTACCTCTTTGCACAGTCAAAACATAAGTCTTGATTGAAGTGATCAGCTGAGTTGTCATTGCCTTAACAGTAGTGATGGATTTCTTCAGCATTTCAGCATGTACCTGATGTGTCAGCTCATCAATTCTAGCTTCAACCTTTTTTGCCATTTCAGTTATTCCTGGTGTTAGATTCTTCACAAATGTGACAAGTTCCTCCATACTTTCCACAATTTCAGCAACAGATAGGTATTCTAGAACTCCTCGGCAAACTTTTAGAATTTTTCTCACCTCTGCTTCATCAAATGTCAGCAGCAATGCTGATGTTCCCGAAAGAATGCCTGAAATAATAAGGTTGAACATCAAGAGGACAAGAATTTACAACTACAGCAGTTTTTTCCCTGCTCAAGAGTGCATATGTTACAGGTCAAAATTATATTCAGGATAAAATTTTTCTACCTACTTGCAGATTGATTCTCACCAACCTAGACTGAACAATTTTAACCTGAATTCAATTTTGACCTGTAACACATTTGTACAGCATAATCATTGTCTAACTTTGTTAGCTGAATCAGGAAAACTTGTATATTTGTCTCAAAGTAATTTTTTAAACTTCTACTGAAAATTGGTTTCACCCCACGCTAAGCAGGACTGTCAGTAAGGGCTGGGTACTGGGGGCTGGGGATTTCCGCTGGCTTCATAGCTGTTTTATTCCCTTCCATCCGGTACTTGATTATTAACCCCAAAACTTGAAATCTTAGTGACAGCCCTGAGTGAGTCATAAAGGGTGTAAGCTTGAGCATTAGCTAAAATGTAGTTAATTTCTATGATGTCAGTCAGCATAAATAAATAGCAATAAAAGTTGATCCTTACAAAGGAACAATAACTACACCGGATCATAAACCATGAAGCTCAACAGACTGATAAGAGAAAATAATTTTCAACAACAATTTTCTGGGATTTTTGTGATCTGTGGGAGACTGGTGGAGTCCATCAATTAATGAAATAGAAAGTACCAGTAACTTACTTGTACATGTAGGATCACTTACCACGAGCACCATCAATTAACTTCTTACGAGCAGTGGATGAGTAAGGATCTTGTCGTAAAATTTGAGACGCTTCCACTAAAAGAATAGAGGACTCTTCCACTCTTTTAAAAGCAAGCGGCATTTCTTGTTTGAGAATTTCGTCTTTACTGGATGCTGCTGTTTCTTTACCCACCTGGAAAGAAAAAAGGAGATTACAATGTTGAAACTAATTTAAGTTGAACCTCAAGTAAGCAACCACCCAAAATGAGGAGTTCCAGTGAGTCACTTACAGGGGCTGGTCACGTAAAATAATCAAACCACAGAGGGTCTTTACTCAGGAGAGGCCCTGACACATACTTTTAAAAAGAGATGTAACTGAATGCAATTTCTAAGTTATGATATATTATGCTCCATGTTGTCTAGCACTAACAGTTCTTCATATACCGTATTTCCTTGAATAATAGCCGTCCCTCTATTAATCGCCTCCCACATAATAATCGACCCCCACCGCCCCTCTCGCCATTTTTTACCTCCTCCCTGTTAAGTTGAAGTGCAATGTGATCGATTTTTTATTTAATTGGAAAATAAAACTAAAAGTTTAAGGAACAACTTCCAGTGAACAATATTTGAAATAATCACCTTCCCTTGAATAATCACCCCTGGCTATTATTTGAGGAAATTCGGCACTTTAGGTGGCATAGTACACACAGCTACAGTGTAACATAGACATCAAACCATTCATCAAGTGGAACAATGATAATTTTTAAAACTGTCTTCCTAAAAAGTGGTCATGGTTGCTTACGAGAGGTGGTTATTTACGAGAGGTTCTGATTATGGGGATTTGACTGGCAAATTTTGGTGTTTTGGATAGGTGGCCGATTATGGGAGGTGCTCGCACATGGAGGTTCAACTGTATTTGTAATGCTAAGGCTTTTCCTCTGATGCTGAAAACTGACTACTGTTAACACTGAACTGAGCAATGTTTACTGATGTCTTGTGTCTGCTACTTTAACAACAACAACTTTATTTATTGCATCTAAGCAGTTTACAAAGTGAAATTTACAAAATACAGCAAATTATTATACAATGAATGCAAAAATAACATGAATTGAATAAATCTTACGTGATTTTCACTACCTGCCAATAGTATACATGTACAACTGTACCCCAAAGCGGAGGTGAATAGTGGTGGATATACTGACAAGAAGCGTTGGGGTATACATGTATATCTGCTGCTATTAATTCGAACCGACCCGAG